TAGCTCTCCACACAGAACACCGGCTCCCGAGGCCCCAGCCCAGGGGTCCCCTAAGTTCATATCTAGGCTAGGGCCAGCAATCAAACTGCTAAGACCCCACAGCTGATTCTGATGGTCTGGCAACTTCTGGCCTCCAGCATAAAATACAATGCACGCTTCGTGTGGGGAATTAAAGGGCAAACTCCACAAAACAACTGGTAGTGAGATTTGTAAGGATCGTGTTTCCAGGCACTTTGGGGGCATGAAGCTCCAACTTCAATGGTGGAAAACAGTGCCCAGCCCTGTGACGTTGGGTTGGGTCTCAAGATTCAAACATGACTCCAAGGATCTCCTCTCTCCTCTCCCCACCACCATCCCGAACCATGACCCGGCAACTGTCCGGAATTACTCCAAATTAAGGTTTGGCTTCCGCTGGGGGACGTGTTCATATAATCTGATGCAACTCTAAAGGATCACATTTGCCTTTGGGGGTGTGTGATTCAATGTACTCTTTTCCAGCCTCTCCCTCTACTTTCTGCCTCAGCTCTAGATCTTTTCTTCAGTGCGTATACAATTGCCTTTGCTTTTTGCCAGTGAGCTTGATTCATTTTGGAGAGTCCTGCCTCTAACTCTCTTCTTTCAGACCCAAACTCCTGGCAAGTTGCCTTTTGGTGAAAATGTTTTGTGTCCAAAGTCAAACTACAATTTTTATTATTTCATTCACATTTAGAAAAGCACCGTCTTGCTGATAAAGAATGTGTTCACAAAGGTCATCTGACTTACTCCAAAATGGCAAAGACATCCAGCCCAGAATTCATCAACAAATTTGGGTTCAGGATGCACCTGCTGAGTGTCACTTCAGCCAAACATCTTCAGGGTCTCTTGAGAACCTTCCAGTGAACTCACTATCTTCAAAAGCTGTTCTTGGCACTAAGAGCATGGTTGACTACGGAGAACACCAGCCGGGCAACGCCGTGGCCGGGTTCAGACTCTAACCACCCACAAAAAAATTATTGTCAAAGCTGAGGGAACTCACCTCACACTCAAAAGGAGGAATAAACCCCACAAAGCAAAATAGGAAAACACCGAGTTAAAAAAAAAATCAGGCTGTGAAGGCTGCCCTTTGAGAAATCACATATTGCTGGGAGCAGTGGCTCCTACCTATGATCCTAGCTACTCAGGAGGCTGAGATCTGAGGATCGAGGTTCAGCCCAGGCAGAAAAGCCCCGTGAGACTCTTATCTCTGATGAACCACCAGAAAACTGGAAGTGGTGCTGTGGCTCAAAGTGGTAGAGTGCTCGCCCTGAGCAAAAAGAGCTCAGGGATAGCTCCCAGGCCTTGAGTTCAAGCCCCTCGACTGACCAAAAAAAGAAAGGAAAAAGTAGCTCTAGTCCTCCGATCATGGTGCCACGCTCTGAGCTGCCATGCTCCCGAAGGCGTCATGTCACCGCCTCTTCTCGCTCCCTAGACGGGCAACGCCTCCCCCTTCTGCTCATCTAACCCCTCGACACGGCTGGAAGACGGCTTCCTTGCAGGGCTCTATCCTGGACGTCCACCCACCCAGCAGGGCCTGCTGTGTCTTCATGTCTTTAAGACGTTTCCTGCCTGTCTGCTGACACTCACTGTTACAGTGGCCTCTGCTCCAAACATAAACACAAATGAGCTCAACCGTGGCTGGGCTTCGGCCCTGGCGAGAGCCGAGCCAGTGAGTCAGTGAGCGAGGCAGACAGGAGTGGGGGGGGGAGCCACCGAGCAGGTTTCCGACTCTAATCCTTTTGTGTTGGCACACTGCTCCCACAGAAGGAGAATGACTCTCCCACCACAAATCTTCAACAAGATGAGGCCGATGGCCACGCTCCTCCACGCTTACTATGCAGGCAAGCCGGTGGTTCAGACCACCCAGCCCTCCACCCCGTGTGTCCACACAGGCACCGGAGTATCGGCTTCGGAACTGGGAAATGACAGGTTTTGCACACAATGAGGATCAGGCCGATGTTAGTGGACTCCAAGTTACTGCACTGCGATCTGCTACACTCATTTCGCTATCTAATTTTGGCTTTTGGGGGGAGGGAGAGTACTGTTGAGATTCTGGTAAGTTACTAGTCATGGGCAAAACGCTTTCCCTCTTGTTACCCATTTTAAACTCAGACCTGATCAAGTCACCTCACCCTAAAAGGTGGGCAGTGTTACCACCTCAGTTTACAATCCACATCCTCACAGGGCAAAGGTCTGATGACCCTGTAAGCCATGGGCCAAGCCCCTTTTGTGACTGTTGTTTGGTCTGAGAGAGGGTCTCAGCCTGGCCTCAAACTTGAGATCCTCCTGCCTCAACCCCCTGAAGAGCTACACTTACAGGCATGCACTACCACACCCAACTGAGTCTTCTTAAACAAGACTCTAAAGTTCTACTGATATAGTTTGAAAGGATTTGCTTCTATAGGGTTCAATAGGCTTTTCAGAGAGGCTGTTCACACATTTACTAGGCCTGGCTACAGCTAAAGGTCAAACGCACTGGGCAGGAAGACTTTCTGACTCAAAGAAGAGGGAACACACTGGAGGAGACAGACAGAGCCCACAGTGGAAAAAGACAGAACTTCTTATTGCACACCTGTGTGGGGTGGGGGTCGGGGCGTGGCAGGGGACTCACGTACAATCAGCAAGCTGAAAGACAACTTTTTCTTAGGCTTGTGACTTGACAAGTTTTTGTATTACTGTTTTTCACAAAAGCCTGAAATTTTTTAAAAAAGATAATAAGACTTTTGAGTCTCAAATTAAATCAAATAATGTTTCTTAACAGTACAAATGATAGGACGAAAGCATCTTTCCACAGGTGATCCAGAATGTACAACCTTCCCAGCTGTTGCTTCACTGTGGGCTCTGTGTGGGTACACAAATAAGAGTGGTTTTAAGACACAGAAGACAATAATTCAGTTGTCTAACCTGGAGCTCTTACAGGGTAGATTGTGCATCCTCTGAATAGTTCAAAAGAAACAGTTGTTTGTATGAACAACTTGGGCACTTGGAAATGTTCCAGAGAACAGAGGGCTTCTGGAAGGGCTGTGAGTGGCCGGTGGGAGTGAGGGGTTCTGGGAGACCGGCGGGATTTCTGGTTTGGCCAATGAGCAGCGACCTGCTCCTTGTGCTGAATAAAAGGTCTCAGGTACCATCTGGGAGATTCTCATCTCTGCTGCCCAACTCTATTCCCCCAAGAAACCACCCAGAGGAGTTTGGTGGCCACCACCAGCTCCTCTCTGGCATCACGATATCGAGAGACACGCAGAAGAGCCGTCTGCAGGTGTGAGCACACAAGGCGCAGAGGGAGCCCAGGTCTCCCCCTCCTTATTTGTCATTTAGAGCACAGGACGGAACGTGCTTCCACAGAACCCGTGGGTCTAGGCAGTGTCGGTGACCCTGGGGGCGGAACGAGCCTCAGCGACGGCCCACGGCCGGGCTGCGGTGTGGTTCAGCATGCTGCCACCTCTGGACGAGGTCACAGGGCCACACCCTGCGTCACCGGCAATCAAACAGCACATATTTGCGGTGGGTAAAGCAACACTGGCTCAGAAAGACACAATGGAGTCCTTGTGACCTGAGCCGTCATCCTCCACACGCAACAGGAAGAACCCACAGCACAGAGCCTCCTGGCCCGGGCCGGGCCGACTCAGCCACGATCGTGTGGCTCCGGTGTGTGCGTGCATTATCCCCCACACGGCACTGATATCTGACGGCAGCTGGCTGAGGGGCTGGTGAGCACCGGCTGCCCTAGCTGCCCCGGGACGCGGCGTACGCAGGGCCGCAGGCCTGCCGGGCAGGCCCCGGTGGCGGGTGGTATTACAAAGCGTGTTCTGATCTGAACTGGCGAATCCGCCATCTCACTGCTCCCCCAGCCCCGGATCCACCGCCCAGCTGACAAGGGGCCGTGTGTGTTGCCTACTTTCTACCACAAGAGTGTGATGTTTCAGCATGTCAAAGGAACGGGATCCCCACCTCAAATATTGGCCAGCACACGGACGCTCTGTCAGGGCTTCCGGTGTGAGTGCAGCGCTGCCGTCCGCACGCAAGCGCCAGGGGCCCGCCCGGGCTCCCTCGGGCGTGGAAGGAGGGACCCGGCTCGCACGGATGGCTCAGCTTGGCCAACCATGTCTGAATTTACTGCTAATCTAAGACGCCCCCTTGTCCTTTGCTCTAACTGCTGACCTGGCCTGACAGCCTGCCTCTTTAACTCTTTATCCTCAGTATCCTCTTTAACTCTTCTGCTTTAATTCTTTATCTTTTGCTCTGAACCGGAGCCAAAAAAGGGCTGGGGGTACGGCTCAGCAGTGGAGGACCTGTCTAGCAAAGCAGCAGTGGAGGACCTGTCTAGCAAAGCAGCAGTGGAGGACCTGTCTAGCAAGCGTGAGGTCCTGGAGATACCCAACAGCACCACAGAGAAAAGGTAGAGGAGAGAATGCTGTAAGAATCTGATCCCTAATCGGTAAAGACTCAGATATAGAAACTCCAGACAGCACGTGGCTCAATCTCTTCCTTTTCCTCGTAATTCAGAAGGGCAACGCTTCCCCAGGGTCATCGCAGTGGCATCTCCTCATCCCCAGTCCCGGGACCCCCAGACAGGACCACTGGCTGATCGAATCTGACTCCTCTATCAACAAACCCACGAGTCCAAAAGAAACCAGCACTCAGTTAAGAAAAGAAAAAGATGAGGTAACTGTTACAAGCTCTATCAAGCACATTTCATAGCAGACGTCGAGTTGGTATGTCTGAATGAATGATGCAGACACTGCCTGCACCTTCCCAGTTACAGAACAGTTACGTCCTTTCCTTAAAGAGTAAAAAGAAAAAATACCACAGCTTCGAGAGGCTTCTCACAGAAATCCCAAATCGACCTTGCAGTTTTACTAAAGCTAGAGAACAGTTCAAACGTGTGTCCTGGAGGTGTGAGTCGTCGGACTTCAAGGCTGTGAGGATCACAGGCTGGGCTTGTTCGATTAGGACGTAGGGCTGGGGGGGGGGGGGGCACTCACCAATGCTAATCTCATCGTCCGTTTCCGCATCACCAATACACTCAAACTGGAAGTCCTGGAGGGACTGGGAAAACTTCTGCACTGCCATCGAGAGATCTACGATAAAAAGAGAAACCCATGAGAAGCAGAGCCTGGGCCGCCCAGGGCTGTCCACGCCGGTGTCAGGGCCGGCCCCAGCGGCTGTCCACGCCGGTGTCAGGGCCGGCCCCAGCGGCTGTCCACGCCGGTGTCAGGGCCGCCCGGGGCTGTCCACGCCGGTGTCAGGGCCGGCCCCAGCGGCTGTCCACGCCGGTGTCAGGGCCGCCCGGGGCTGTCCACGCCGGTGTCAGGGCCGGCCCCAGCGGCCCATCCACCCGCATTGCTCTTCATTTCCTCTTTATGAGGGGTATCACACCCCAAAGGGTTCAGTATGATACCTTCACACACACCCGCACACACACGCGATGTACCTGTGGTACCTTCACACACACCTATGATGAACCTGTGGTGTCTTCACACACACACATGATGAACCTGTGGTATCTTCACACACATCTATGATGTACCTGTGATATTTTCACACACACCTATGATGAACCTGTGGTGTCTTCACACACACCTACCTGTGGTACCTTCACACACACCTATGATGAACCTGTGGTGTCTTCACACACACCTACCTGTGGTGTCTTCACACACATCTATGATGTACCTGTGATATTTTCACACACACCTATGATGTACCTGTGGTATCTTCACACACTTACGATGTACCTGTGATATTTTCATACACACCTATGGTGTACCCGTGGTATCTTCACACACCTATGACGTACCTGTGATATCTTCACACGCCTGTGATGTACCCTGATCAAATTCGCCTTTGCTACTGCTCCTTTTTTTCCCTTAGCCTCATTGTTAACCAGTTTTAAAGGATTTCATTGTTCTCTTTCCATGAATACATATAAAACACTTTGGTCCTACTATAAATAACATGGCCCTACTTTTAAAAGATCTTAAAGATGCCACCAAAATAAACTTTAGGGCTGACAAACACTATCATACAATTGGAACCCAACGAACAAAGATCTTCACCTTTTCATGCACCAATAATAAACAGGATGAAGATGAAATCAGGATAGCAACCCGGTCGCCGTAGCCTCAAACAAGTATGTAGGGGTAAACTCAGCTATGCAGAAGGAAGAGCTCCACAGTGAAAGCTTAGAATTGTGAAGCGGAAACTGGAGAACGCAAAGGCAGATGCTGAGCACACAGCTGTGCACCGACAGCCGGCTGAAGACGGGACACACGTAATCCTGTCTGCAAGGAGGCTGCATCCAGGGACTCTCCTCCCAACCGCAGCAGGGAAAGCGGAACACCAAGATACACACTGCACAGCTGCAGGGGTCCGAGCAAGCCAGGCCAAGACATGAACCTGTTTCAAAAATTACTGGAGCACGAAGGACTGGAAGTACGGCTCAAGTGGTAGAGCACCTGCCTACTAAACAAAGGGCCCAGAGTTCAACATCCTCCCTCCGACAAAAGACATTCAATGCAATCCTCCTCAAAACCACCGGCAGCTCTGACAGTCTGGCAAGTTTAAACACAACCTGAAGAGTCTACTACAATTACTTTCAAAACGGAATCAGCCTGGCCCACAAGACCTGGCTTTGTGTTGCTGAGGTCGAGGGATATACCTTTAAGTCAGTAAGCCCAGGAGCCGGGAGGCTGAGGCAAGCCCAGGCTACACAGCGAGACCCTCTATAGCCAAAAATAAGGGAGCGGGGAGGAGGGGAAAAGTGTTCTGATGCCAGAAATATCTTATCTGGAAGCCAACTGTCCAAAGCCTTTGTCTTTATTGAGAAACTGTCACTCCGACATCATAAATGAAGCGTTTACTTAAAGAAAAACAAGGGGCAGCCAGGGGGCTGCTGTGGAGGGGAGGGCTCTCTGGGGGGAGGGGAGGCAGGGGCGAAGCCTGTACCACCGCCTACTGGTTTAGATGCAGTGAAAGACCATCTGAGAGGCTGTTTGTAAGTGAGTGTGGTTTACAGTGGACTCGACCCCACATCCTGACCCGAGTCCAAACGAAGACAAAGAAACACCTCCTTCCCCAAAACAGGTTCGGCCCCTCGGCTGTCTTCTCTTTGCCCCGGCTCATTCCTCTCGGCACGCGCATGCCGCTCAGCGGGCCGCGGGCACTGGTCAACGTGCGTGCGGCTGACACGGAGTCCGGTAACTGGGCAGTGCAGTGACGGCCAGTGGAGGACGTGTAGAGAGGTGACTGGAAAGGCACTCGGCAGCCAGCAGGGGGCGCCCACCTGTTTCTGTCATTCCCCCACGGGTGCCGAAAGCTCAGGCTGCCCCTGGCCGCGGAGCCCACGTGCTGTGTCCTGGGACAGACCTGCGTGGAGGCCCGGGCACAGGAAAGATGGAGGCCCAAGCCAGCCTCATGTGAGATGGCTGCGTACAATGGTGCACAGGAGCCTCCTCCTGCCACGGCGGGGAGACAGCCTCCCTCTGGCCCACACTGGAGTCCACGCATCTGGGCCTGGGAGACGAAGGCTGGCGGCTGGGCTGAGGAGCTGTTGGGGTTCAGGCCCTCATTCTTTGTGTGGTGGGGAGAAGACAGGATGGCGATCGAGGGACCGCGGAGCGCCCAGCATCCCTGAGCGCCAGGTCCCCGAGTGCCCCGGAGACGCCATGCCCTTGCAGGCCCCGAGGCCGGAGGATTTCGTGAGAACCGCTTAGCTCAGTGTCTGGGACCGAGCAGAGAGGTGAACTGTGTGATCCTCAACAAACGCCAACTCCTAAAACACAACTTGTTATGATGTCAAATGCAGCACAAAAAATATTTTCATTGTAAGCATAACATATCTCCGCTGTGTATCCAATTACTGTCCTCAGATCTTCAGTGGAAACAAATAGTGGCGCTGGGCTCTCATCAAGACCGAGCAGCTCATAATCCCATAAATGCTATGTGTTTGGCATGCAATTCCAGAAGATTCTAGCCTAGAAAATAACAAAACAGGAACCAATACTTGGGCAGATTTTATCCACAGTTTCTATGAAGCTACAAATTCCAGAAAAATTAAAAACCACAAAGACTCCACTATTGCTACAACTCAAGTTAAAAATAGATGGTTCAAAGGAGGAAATGGACGGCCCCTCTTCCTGCCCTGGGGAGCAACGGGAGGGCGGCGGCCGGGCTCTGGTTAGCTCCCTGCCCACATTCGCCCCTCGGCTCCTCCTCAGACTCAACTTCCACGGGGTCCGCTTCGGTCCTCTTCTTGGGCATCAAGGCCCGCTCCCGTTACTAAGTTCTGCCTCAGGATGGATCCGCAGCTCCCACGCTGTGGGCTAAGCTTACGTGACGGGACGCCACACTCCAAAATTCCCCTTGTCCTCTGGGATGGGACAATACCGAGCCACCCCGCCGAGGGGAGAGGGTGGTTTTCCCAGGCACCCGCGGCCCTGGGCCGGCCTGCCATGCGCTCCAGTGGGGCCTCTCCTGCCCCACGGCCGCTGCCCAAGCCCAGGCATTCTCCAGTGTCCGCTGCACTTGCAGGACTGGCCAGGAGTCGCGGTCCCGTGGATCTTCCAATGCCCCAGCTCTCTAGACCCGGTCTCAGCACACTCCCTTTTCTCCTGACGACCTGACGTATATTCCCGAGATAGTCAGATGACGCATTTGCCATTCTGTCTCATTTCAGCCTTCTGCCAGCTCCCACGTTTTACTTCATTTTTCTTCCACTCCGCCCTTCTCGGTATCATAGGCCAAATGTGTTTGTTGTTGTCACGATGTGACCGGTTCCATTTCCTTCCAAGCTCCCGCACCGAGGTCTGCTCTTCTAGGTCATGCAAGTGTCTCCCCCCTTCCCTCTCCGCTTTTTCACATCGTTTCCCAAAAACGAGTCTTTGTATTCTCAAAATTTTAGCCAAAGGAACTAATTTACACTGGCTTTCTCTATGTCCAGTCCTCCTTCCGGTTGAGGGGCTCCTGGTCTCCCACCAGCCTTGGTGTGGATGGGTCCTGAGCGCAGGGCAGTGGCACACACCCTGCAGGTGTCCGGCCTTGAGCACAGCCCGAGCGGGTCGGTCTGTGGAGATGAGTAATTCCTGCATCCTCTGAAGAACCTCCAAGATCTACCTCTACCAATGAACTACCCCAAAGCCACACCCAGCTATTCAACCAAGGCAAGGCACCCACTGAATTGCAAATATGAAATGCTCTATTCCCGGGCTGCCACCAAGAATCCAGAAGCTGCTACAACTTTTACTTCAAAACTGGGGAGACGGACGCCCTCAGTAACCTTACGCTAACATGTTTAAGGTACAGACACCACAGGCAAACTACAACTCACAGAACTCAACTCCTATCTATTTCCATATTGGCAGCCAGATGGCCTATGTCCCAGGACCTCTGTGTCAGAACAGACGTATTTTAAGAATTCCTGAGTGTTACCTCACTGTTCAGAACACCCGATTCTGAGACTGCTACTGGCCATATTGGCGCTGTCCCCAAAGCCCCACGGGCAACTACGCCAGCCCCAGCCTCTTCACGGCCTTCGTGCCAGCAACAGCCAGCATCTGAGAAATAAGGCCAACTAACGCCTTTCTAGAAGATGATGAAGAACAATCCAGGCTGAGAGGCCAGGTGGTCACCCACAGATGTGTTCCTCGCTGCAAAAGGAGCCAGAGAAAGGCCAGGAGGGCTTTGTGCAAGGCCGGGGGTGGGGCATGGGGAGCTGAGGGGACGGGGGGGCGGGGGCAGCTGGCTGAGCAGTGGGTGTCCCCCTACAATCCCAGCACAGTCCCCCCACAATGACGCTGGGGCTGTCACTAGGCCGCTGCAGTGAGCCATCCGTTCAAAGGAAGTTCAAGTTTCACGCATCACTGGAGAAAATGGGGCCGAGGTGGCTTCCCAGTTTCTGTGTCATCTTTTGATGACACATAGGTCTCACTGAAAGACAATTGGTTAGGGAAATGACTCCGGTGCTCGACAGGCTCCGTTAACTCCGGTTCTGCTGTGTGAGTACGTTTCTTAAGCTCCCCAAGTGTGCATTTCCCTTTCAAAGGAGGAGGACACCACAGAGCACCCACCGTCCACTCACAGC